GTGTTGTACTAACCTTAAAAGTTATGAACACAGTTTAAGTGAGTTGATCAACCCTAATGATTTGTCAGTACCTAAATGGCATAGATACCACTTGAATGTTTGTTCGTCTCCTCAAGTTTTGATCGATGATAATTCTGGAAGTACTCAACTCAGCTCAAAGTTAGAGCACATTCGATGTTAAGAAGTGGATATTTGTGAGATAAATCAACCATGAATACCCAAAATAACTTTATTATATGACCAAAGTGAACTAACGGAAGTACAACATGTATACGAAACTCAAAAGCGTCTGAATTACTTGGGAAGACTCTGAAGTAACTAAGATAGATTTGACTACTAAATGAAATAAGTAACCTTAATGACTGAGGGTTTAGTAAGTGATTTGGATGAGTCTGGAACACCAATGAACTTGCATGATGTACGGTCCTTATGGGTTATGAACCAATAATTAAATACGTCGACAATTCTTGATATTGTTGCAACGTGGAAAGGAAATAAAGATTATTAGGATATATGCTCGCTTCCTTAAGATATATTCAGCGATGATTCTGAAAGATGATCTATGGACAAGAATTGTTGGTAATAAAGAGTGAATACCCTGGAAGGACAATGAATTGACTAGTCGATAGGCATCAGTTCTAGGAGTTGTTTAGCTTGAGTTGTTAGATAATCCGATCGATTGACATGTATGGTAGGTGACTTGAATCTTCATTTCTCCATATTAGCTCAAATCACTCCGGTCATACCTGAACACTTTCCTGATGCACATGAAACATAGTGGGATTCTAATGTATCAACCTTAAATGTCTGATTAGATCGGTTAGTAATTGATTCTCTTTAATAGGACCTGATTTCTAAAATCCAATCAAATTGCACAAGTTTCATGTCATCCATACTGATAACTACAAAATGCCTCTGACAAATACTTGGATCCTCTAGTGTGTTCCACATGAACTGCAGGACAGTTTTATATGTTTTGAAAAGAGTTTTAACGAAAGAATTGATTTACTGGTTTTTGAACCATGGCAACTTGGTATGTATTTTTCGATTATGGTTTTCACCGAAAAATATGAATTGTTTCTGATTTATGGAATCATAGATATTATTGGTTTACGAACTATGGTTTTATGCTTTCACTGGTTATACTCGAACTGTTTTATTAGGATATTATATGGGTAGACAGACGGTACAACTCTAATAAAGCTAGTAAATCCTTACGGACCTAAGGTGATCCTTGGGTAGGCTTTCAGGCACCCAAGGCATTCCCCTTAGGGTGCGTTTGGTTCACGGAATGTAAGATTACCAGTGGGAATAAAAGATTACCAGGGAATAGGATTACTGGGAATGTTGTATTTTGTGTTTGGTTGGTTTAGCAGGAATGTAAGATTATCGTGTTTGGTTAAAGGAATAAAAGATTATTGGAATGTATATTTGACCAAATTATACTTATTATATATTTGTATAATATTAAAATTTTTAAAATTTTTATATATATTCTTTAAAAAATTAAATTCATAATATTTATATAATTTTTTTTTACAAAATTAAAAATATAAAAAAGGTTTAATTAAAGGGTAAATTTTTTTTAAACCCTGAACTTCATATAAAATTTTAATTATAGACTTTTTTTGTAAATCTAAAATAATTTAAGGATAAATTTGTAATTTAACCTTCGTAGAATTTTTATTATTCAATGACAGAAGAATGATATTTTTGAAAAAAAATAAAAATTTAAGGGCATTTTAGTCCAAAACGCCGGTAATGTTACAATACCTTAGGGAAGGGAGGTAATGACATTCCCAGTAATATACCCCAAAGAATCTACTATTGGTAATAAAACATTACCGGGAATGAGATTCCCAGCCAACCAAACATGGGAATGTGGGATTCCCATCCCATGGGAATCCCACAATCCTTGAACCAAACACCCCCTTAGGTTAATCATGGAACTACTTATGGTGTACAGGTGAAAATCAGTTATACAATTTATTTCATTATCATAGTTATGACAAATTACTGGATCATGATCTAGATAGTATGATTTACGGCTAAATTGATTTCTATTAGATTTTTATATGGGTAGGATTATGAAGTATGGAGGTACAACCCTAATCCAGCTGGTAAATCCTTACAGACCTAAGGATACCCTTGGGTAGTCCCATAGGCGCCAAGGTATATCCTTAGGTTGGCCCCCCCTTTGTTGTGTCCTTAGGGTAAGCCCTACGGACCTAAGAATACCCTTGGGTAGGCCCTTAGGCCCCAAGGCATATCCTTAGGTTGGCTCCCTTTACTGTGTGCTTAGGGTAAGCCCTACGGACCTAAAGATACCCTTGGGTAGGCCCATAGGCTCCAAGGCATATCCTTAGGTTGGCTTCCTTTTTTGTTGTGTGCTGAGGGTAAGGCCTACGGACGCAGTTCTGGGGAACTGCATAATGGAGTTTGGATGGAGGGATCCACTGTGATTTTAAAATATTTATATATTTTCACTGGTTTTGATTGGAACACACTAGACATCCTATTCGACCTCCTAAAAATGTGATACTATGAATGCTTTTTATGAACAAAGATCTTCATGGCTTCTACTCGATGAACTACCAGGGGAACCCTAGATTATCCTAAAAATTGGTATACGACTGATTCAATAAGAAAATTATATGGCTTTCCATTTATCTGCATGTCCTATAGTATCATCTGGTAGTATTGTATTACTGAGCTTCCCAAAGCTCACTCTGTTACTTACCTTTTCAGGTTAAAAAGAAACGTACCAGTGTATCTATCGACATCAGTAAGAGAGTTCTTTCGGCGTTGCTTGCAGAGTATATACATGTGATTAGGGGGCATGTATGTCATATTTTGTTTTTATATTCGAGTCTGGAAATCTATTTTATTTCAGAATACTGCTAAATTTTATTTTTGTATTCATAAATCATTTTTATGAGTTTACATGTTTTATTAACAATTTTAAATTTTCTAATATTTTTATGGTGGATCACTCCGGTGGCCCTAATGTGACACCCGGATCAGATCAGGTCACCCGCATCGGTCTGGGGGTGTTACAATTTTCCTATGCCTCTTGGCTCCTCCCTAGCCAAGCCCCTTCCTCCTTTCCCTATCGACTTTCTCAGTAAAAATAATGTCAAGACAAAGATTAAAAATAAAATTGTTTCTTTAATTATATCAACTCTAGATCTATGGAGTTTTAGGTGTTTTCCAATTAAATTGACATTGAATTTCTTTTCAAAATGGTAATTCAATGAAAACTTTACGAGTCATTTACCTCTGATAACGATGGCCATCAATGGTCGATGTGTTTGTTAGAATATGGATTTGTTGAAGTTGTAGAGCGGGACAGGAAAAAGATGAGAGGAGATGAAGAAGAATGAAGAAGAGAGGAAGAGAACATAAAAGAAAAAAAATAACTTTTTTTATTTAGATTAAAATTACGTCGTTTTGATCTAAATTTAAATTTTTTATAGAAATTCAAAAATAAACCATTTTAATATTATTTGTCATGTTATAACGTCGTTAATTATTTAATGTTACTTAACTGAGTACCCATCGACCCGGTACCCGGTACATTTTTTAAATTTAATTTAATTTTTATATTATTTTATTTAAACACTAGGCAGCAATAAGAGAATCCTTGATTCTAACCTCAAATTAGCAGTTTTCAATCCCTAACCCCTCGACCCATAGTCTCACAAATCACCACTCATGCATGATCTCGCCGGATGATCAGGCAAGCAAGCACTCACAGCTTCGGTGTTTCCATCTCATCATCCCTCACCATCACTTGTCAAACTGGCATTAGCGAGAGACCCAAACCGGTATAACCCATTTTTTTGTTGTTAATTTCTGTAAATATCCACATCCTCTTTCAAGCATTACATCCTGCTCAAAGATACATAATTGTGATAATAAACTCTAAAAGTTGATCGAGTTTATTTATAGAAAAAGAAAATTCTTAAATGCCGAGAAGCATAGAGTTTAATATTGTTACCCACTTCTTACTAAAAATTACATTTAATGAAATAAATAAACAAAAGGGAAGGGAAAAGAATTGCTGAAGCTACAAGGGAAAGAGGTAAAAAGAAGAAAAAAACCACTATTGTATAGGATCATATTAAAGTATGTGAGGGTGACAAATCTCATGCTGAATGCATTTATTTTTCTTAAAAGATATATTATGCATCTAATAATAGAACTAATACCATTAAACGTCACACTAGTCGGAGTAAGAAAACCCTTTTTTATGCAAATACAAATAAACAATCTTATATTTTGAGTCTAAGATAAAGTGCAATGCTGATGGGACTATTGAAACTATTAGTGTTCCTAGATTATGACATTTTGATAATAATAAATAATAATAATAATAATAATAATAATAATAATAATAATAAGTAGTTGCTAAATGGTGGTTGTTGAAGAGTTACCATTTAGTTTTATTGAACGTAAAGGATTTCATCATTTCTGTAAGATTGTTATTTCTAATTTTGTTCCCTCCTAACGTACTACAATTACTAGAGATTGAAATGCTTTGTTTGTTGAAAAAAAGATGAAGTTAAAATGTAACACCCTAACTCGTATCCAATCCGAATATGAATCTGAGGTAGGGGTGTAAACGAGCCGAGTCGAGCTCGAGTATTGTTGAGCTCGACTCGAACTCGAAAAGTATAAAAGTAAGTTCGTCTCGACTTGAAAACTCGCGAGCTAAAAATTATCAAGCTCAGCTCGAACTCAAAAGATATTATTGAAACTCGACTCAAACTCGAAAAGGCTCGAACTCAAAAAAAAAATCAAGAGCTCGATTGAAGTTCGAGACTCGAGCTCGATTGAAGCTCGATTTTGAACTCGATTTTGAGCTCGATTCAAGCTCGGTTGAACCAGGTGTTGGTACGATTTCATTTGTTGAAACCCATCCCCTTTTATACACTCGACTTTATCCCTTATTCCTTAAGAACCATCGACGTGGGATATCAACTCACAAGATTACCCAACTCGTAAAAGCAGAGCGAGAGCTCAATTATGAAGCTAAAATGGATTTTAAGAAATCACTAACAAAAAGAACATAAATGATTGACAGATAAAGAGAGGGAAAACAGTACTCGGGTTTCTCTTGAGAAGTAGAAGATTGGCTCCCTTCAGAATCTGATAACAAAAAAAATAGCCCAAGAATCGAAATCAACTTCAAACATGTGATTATACCTATGCATCGAGCTATATACGAGAAACACGAGTGTGAAAAAAAGAGAAAAGGATGTCACCATCTTCATCGTCTTCATCATCATCGTCGGCTTCATCTTCGTCGTCGGCTTAGAGTTATTGAGCTTGGTGGTTCTGGTCATCAGGGTCTTGTTTCTGATGTTGGTGTTCTTGCTCCGGCTCGGGGTGTTGTTCTTCCACTCGGGTCGTGTCGCCTTGAGCTTCGTGGTGGCCATCTTCGTTCCGAGATTGCTTGATGTGGCTTTGGTGATGGAGGTTGAACTCTTCATCGTCGAGATTCTCCGGCAATGACCGCTTCTGGGCCGGCATTGATGCGCTTTTGTCCGTCGATTGTGAGACTCCTTTATTCTAATAGAGACAGAGACACCCAGCCGAAGAGGGAGGACAACGACTCAGAGATTGCTCACTTCTTTTTCCTTTTTTCCTGTATGCAGAGAGGTTTATTTCTTTTTCTTCTTTGAGTAAACTACTCTAAAGGTCCTTAAACTATGCTCAAACAATATTTCTCATCACTCAAAGTTTATAAAATAATAATTAGTGTATATTATAAATTTGATAACTAAACTTTACTTTCTCTCATGTTTCACTCATTGTACTTTAAATCTTTTCAATTTCCTCACTAAACATAATACATTGCTTTTTTTGTCACTCGGTAGTCTCTTCGCTAATGGAATTAGAAATGGGCTTTTATATAGATGCAAAATGATATCGTTTTGGTGAAAATATTGTTTTTCTAAGATGGTGTTGTTTTAATGTCGTTAACTATTTGATGGTGGAGTGATAAAAAAAGTCCAATGTATTAAGTTTAGTAAGAAAATTGAAAACTTTTAAAGTTCAGTTAGCAAAATAAGAGAGAGTAAAGTTTAGTGATAAAATTTGTAATTTGCCCAAATAATTATTAAACCTATTGAATTATTATAAAATATTATAATACCGTTTTAAGATAATTATTAAATTTATTAAACTATCATAAAATTATCATAAAATTTTATAAATTAATTTCATTAATTTATCACCCCTATCACAAAATTAGGTTTAGGGTTTAAGGGTTAAGTTTAGTATTTAAGGTTTATAGTTTAGGTTTTAGGGTTTAGGTTTCATTACAAATACATTAATTAATCGACTTGGTACCGATTTATGAGGCAAGTACAATATAGTATCTTGATATTAAATGCTCAAACCCTTGATATTTATGATATTTGAACCCGAAACCTCAAAATATAACAGCAATTTAAAAATTAGTTATTAAAAATATTATCATTAGAAATATATTAAATATTTGTCATTAGATAAATAATTTTTTATTAATTTAAAATAAATATAATAATATTTATTCAAAAATAATTTTTAACCATTTTCAATTTTTCTATTGTTTGGCTGTTTTTTTTTCTTATTTTTATTTTATTTTTCTACGTTGTCAAGTACTTGTGCAGTAAAAAGTTAAAAAAGAAAGAAAAAATCAACCAAATACATGTAATCTAACATGTGCTTAATTAAATGGGCTTTTATTTTTCTTTTAGTAATATACAATGTAACAATTGGACTTGGGGTGGTTAATTAAAAAAATTAAAATTTGAGGGTAGTTGTATTATAGAATTTCTAATATATTTTTAAAATTTTATAATTATCAATAATGTATTTTTAATATATTTTTAATAATGTAATTTTTAAAAAACTAAAATTATAATATAACATTTTTTTGAGCTGCTCACGAGCTTTTCAAGTCGAATATCGAGTAGCTCGTTTCGGCTCGTTAAGAACTCGAGTTAAGCTTGAGCTCGAGTCGAGTCCATTCGATCCGAGTATTTATCGAGCCTTGATCGAGTCGATCTCGAGTAGCTCACGATCTGTCTTGTCTCATTTACAGCCCTAATATGAGGTCACATTGACTTTTTAAAACATTTCCTCTTTGAAAACTCGTTGAAATTTTAAAACTTTTATTTTCATTTTAAAGGTGAACCTTTATACAACGTTTACATTGAAAATTAATAATCATAATGAAATAAATACTTAATATATTTTATAAACTTCAAATAGTGTCATTACAAAATGGATCAGAGCGTTACAATTTAAAATTTTATAATACATGCCAACAAAATTACAAAGTAATAATAAGAAACCTATATTTCAAATTATTCTGATTTGATCTTCTACAGAAGCATGATTTCCTCCCATAGCTTTAATCACCGTCTCTCTTTGATCCTACGTGTGAAGCACTCACACACTAAGTCGTTGACTTAGTGAGGCAATAATGAGTATAAAGCAATAAAGTATTTACTTAACACTTTCAATGAGCATTGATCAAAGAAATCCATATAACTTTCATACACATTATTATAATCTTATACACTGTTAAGTTCATATAATTTTGTCTACAGAGACCAACACATATTATTGAGAACTCAAGGTATTTGAGTACATTAAGGTTGTGCACTAATGTAGTCACCACTACTCATATAATTTGCACCAAAGTGCCACATAGATATGTTCCGAAGTACCGTGTAGAATTTGTCTCGAAGGACCACGTAGAATTTGTCCCGAAGGACAACATAGAATTGTCCCGAAGGACCGCTCGACTCTTGGCATACGAACTATACCTCTAATTATCATATATATACCTTGGGATTTAACCATATAATTATTTTTTCATTTCATTATTCAAAGTGTGTTTCATTCACGTAGAGCACATTCATATAGGGTACTTTCACGAGAACATTTTCGTATAAAACATATTCTCATGTCTCATATTCACATACTAATAAAAATCATAACAATGCATTCATAAAAACAATTTATGTAAAACATTAAAATATTACATAAAATAAATAAATTGTTTTCGATCGAAAACTTCAAGGTTGGCTTATTGCAAGCCATCCGCATATTTACTATAAAATAAATAACTTGCACTCGCCTTTGCCTAACGAAAGTCTTAAACGAAATCCTTTTTTTCGATCAATCTCGTACTAATTCGATTCTTTCTGTAAGATTAAGATCCAAATCTACACATAGACATGTCCAATATCAATACATCGTTTCCATTAATGGGTAACCAATTAGCACTTACACAAATCGAACGAAAACTTCCTAATGAAAATTTTAGACTGAATAGTATCGGTAACTGTTGAGTTAATCGATTGACGGATTTGGCCAAGAGGGGGGTGAATTGGCAATTAAAAATTTGGTGGAAGCTTTTGCAGAAAATTGAAAGTAATTGCACAGCGATTTAGAGTGGTTCGACTTTCTCAATCAAAGTCTACGTCCACTACCTTAGCTATCCACACTAAGGATTTTCCAACAAATTCACTAATTTGTTCTTTCTTTTGAGGCCAAAGAGATAACCTTACAACACCCTCAAGAATATACCCCAATTCTTGAGAACACTCTTTCCCAAAGAGAAGATTACAAATTTGAAAACTTACAAGGAAAACCTCACAAGGTAAGATGTTTGCACAATTCTAGAACAAGAAAAGAACACTCAAAGATAATTACAAATGAGCACAAATGGTGTTCTTGAAAGGAAAATTGGCTTGATTTGCACAAACTTGGTGTTTGATGCTTTCTCTCTTGTTTCTCTATGATTTCTTGTTGATCAAGGGCTTCAGAACTTGTTTAAATACACCTTGAATCACTTATGAACGTTGGGGATGATTAGTGAAGATCATATAGTCGTTTTTAGTGTGAAAACAATTAATAAAACATCTTGGAGCGTGGGGGAATCAGTTCCCCCTCATAGGGAATCGGTTCCCTAAGTGTAAAATTCAAATATTTCGACCGTTGAACAGGGGGGAATCGGTTCCCTCCGAGCATTCTGGAAATCTCGGAGCCAAACCATTCAGGGGGGAATCGGTACCCCCTTGGGGGGGAATCGGTTCCCTCTGAGCAATCTGGAATTTTTGACTTTGAAATGGTTCGAAATACTTTGAAAGATTATTTTGAAATTCTTTTAAGATTAAAACTTAATTTTACACTTAAGTAAGGATTAAAAATGATTTTTGAAATATTTGGAGTAATGTTTTGATATTCAAATAATTATATCAAATATACTTAGAAAATCATTTGGAAAATCTTAAAATTCATTTAACTTAATTTGTTATATCGAAATATCAAAATGTTTTTAACAATCTCCCCCTTTTTGATATAACAAAACATTTTAGTAATTTTAAGATTTTGAAATCAAGTTTTGAAATTACTCCCCTTTACTTTAACACTTCTCCCATATTTATCATTTTAAAAACACACACTTCTCCCCCTTTTTGTTAAATAAAAAAGATTCAAAGAAACGTGAAAATCATTTAGCCAATTGATTAGGTATATGTATGCATAAGCTGCTAAGATCACAATCAAGAGAAACGTTAGCCATTAGCTTCATAATCAATATTCATATTTAATGTGATATGGCAAAATTGGTCATATATCTAACATGAAGTAAATGATGCAATAATGAATAAATCACACAAAACATATAAGTTCATACCATCCATAAATCCAAACAAATTCACAATCAATCAATTCACAAATTAAAACATTCCAAAATATTCAAAATGTTAAAACAATAAGTTTGGAGTTCAAAGTAAAACATTTAATCACATATCCGGATCAGGAGGAGCAAAACGAGCTCGCATAGCGGCCATTTCGTTAGTGAGGTCATTAATACGTGCGTTGGTTGCTTCATTATTTGCACATATTTCCCGAAGAATTTCTAATTGTTGAGCTCCCATTGTGGATAAATAAGACTCTATAGAATTAAAGCGCGAATCCATAGTCGCATATCGGAAATCAAATGTCTCCATAAAGGATTGAAAATATGGAGGCATTTGAGTCGATTGTTGTGCGTGCTCCTTGGGTTGCTCAGGCTCATCTTCGCTTCATCGATATCCCTCATTAATTGTTCAAACTCTGGATCTTCGTCAGCTTCGAGTGAAGCTTGTGAAGAACTAGCTCCCGGAGTAGTTGCAGAAGATCGAACCCATTCACCGGTTTCTTTATTTTTGACCCATCCCGCTCTTGTTAAAGAAAGAAGATTGATTTGTTTCTTAAGAGGAAAGGAGACATCTAGACCAACTCGAAGCTCGGCTTTAGAAAAGAGATTACTAAGGATACAACCGTAAACTAGTGAAGAACAAAGTTTTTTATTTGGTACTAGGTTAACGGTTTCAACAATCTCAGCAAAGATAATCTCGGAAAGGTTTATTTTTATATTGTGTTCAAAACAATGCAACCACCAAAGATCTAAAGCTTTGAGAGTAGAATAACGACCCCCGGATGGTCGAAACCACCAAGTAATCATGAGATGAAGAAAACGCTCATGAAGATCTAGAACACTTGCACTATCATTTCGTTTATATCGTGAGCCTAAAACTTGTTTTTCATTTGATAAACCTTCATT